TGTGTGTGTGTGTGTGTGTGTGTGTGTATGTGTGTGTCCCCAGCTCAGCCCACCAGGGGGCGGGGCTGGCTGGCATGTGGTGCTGGGGGATTGAACCGTGATCCTTGTGCTTTGTTTGCTAAGCTTGTTCTAAGTAGGTGCTTTAGACCACTGAGCCATCTCACCAGCCCCCAGACATGATCTTTAGTTAATTTAAAGACATATTGCTCAGATGGGTGATTATTTATTCTCTTGGAGACATTGTTTCCTAGCCAACTATTTCTAATCATCCCCAGGGATAATGACATTGTCTTTGTATGCATCATGTCCCTCTCAGTGCCTGGGTTTAACAGGTGCTTTCATGAACATGCAGAGATGTTGGCAATGGGTGTTATGAAAGATACAACGTAGGGAGGGCTGTGATTTTTCAAGTGAACTCCTTTCTCTTTTCAGCTAACACCAAGGAAGCCTGTGCACAAGGGCTGTGGAATGGAGAATTCAGCTTGCAATTCTCAGAGCTGCAAGCTTGCCAGGAAGCATTGGAATCACACATCCAGAGAATCTCTGATCTCGAAATACAGCTGGGTCAGTGCTTTGACTATGGTGACTGCAAAGTCAGGCTGAGACTTTCTGCCACTACTTGGAGGTTTGCAGTGTGCACTGACTATAGTAACCAGTGCCAGCCCTTCCAAGATAAGAAAGGAAAGTGAAATGGCAGTGACCCTTCTCCATGTTTATTGCCAGGATTTGTGGCTGCTGGAGCACTGTGTTTGTCTATGCACCCTCTAGAACAGCCTAAACTGTCAGACTCTAGCACCAGAAGCTTGGTGTTTAGGCCTAGTTGTATTCTCAGAAACTGGGCTTAACATTACTGAATGTAACTATATAATTTGTTTTCTTCAATATTTACTTTTCATTTTCTTATCTGAGACATAAAAAGTAATGTATATCAATTCTATTCAACCTGTGCCCTGGCACCTGGACACACATGAGCTACAGTGACTGTTTTCTGGTATCATTTTATTTATTTATTTTATGGAATCATTAGACACAATGCCTCATTGAAGTGGACATTTTCCAGAAGGGGCTGGATCTAGAGTGTGTGATGTTGGAATTGATTCATGGTGCAATGCTAGGAC